ATAATAACATTGTTTGTGTACATAATTATTAATAAAAGACTGATTAGGTACATCAACTTGAAAATAAGACCAATAACCCATACGAAGTTTATTTTCGCTATCACTTGAAGCGATTGTCATATAATCTTTTTTAGAAACAACAACTCTTTTTTTGCATCTCACGCATTGTCTGGTGTTGGTGGGCATAATACAATAACGATTATTGGATCGAAAATAACGTATAAAATCGATGGTTTGATGAAAATAAGATAAAGACACAAATACTATTCACAAACTAACAATAGATTATAATGCCTGCTATTTTATTTCTATCTTCATTCGCATCATTCCCACCCTCCATTATTCAATCAGACTAAGCGTCTATAGAGGTCATTGCTTGTACTCGTTGATTTTTGTATGTTAAGAAGATTTTATTTCACAGAAAAAACTCATTTATGATGTACTATTTTTGTGGAAAATTTCAGTTTATAAAAACCAGTCTCATCACAAAGTGCATTAGTGGACATATAATTCAACATTCATTCAATGATTCATTCGCATGTGTCGGCAGACTAAAATAGCAAGACTATGGGTAATAATAATTGGCCTAATTTTCAGCCTACGACGTCTGTTACATAGTACATCACTTCTGCCCTCTTCAGTCCAACTATTATACATATGTTGTTGTTATTTTCTTTTTCTATTCATCTGTTGTACGTATGCTTTTTTTCGCGTTACTCACTTTTCCTAACTGACGTCCTTGTTGAGTAACAAGAACCATTGTCTTAATCAGACTTGCCACCTTTTGATGATGGAAAAGCAGAAAATAACCTATAAAAAGCAGAAAATGGCAGAATTTTTCTTCGTCAAAAAGCAGAAAAAAAGCAGAAAGTATGTTTCTTGTACCAAATAATCTTTTAGGCTTTGACTTCATATAGTAATGAGAATAGCTCATTACAATTTCCATTCTTTATTGTACAAAATCAAGAGAAAAAACTACTTAAATGCAAAAATAGAATTATTGAATACGTTTTTTTTTGAATGTGTATTTTTCATCTGACTTAATGGCTTTTAACAAATCTTGATTGCATAAAATATATTTATACATCTCAGTACATGATAAGGTCGAGTTGAAACGTATTTTTAATTCAGCTGAAACCAATTCATTTGTCATACGTTTTCTTCTGTCATTTAACAAATGTTTCATTTGTGAGAATACAGATTCCACGAAAGCATTACTACATGGTAATGAATACAAAAAACATATGAGTTTTTTAAAATTTGGCGATTGAGTAATTGAAAATAAAAACATCCATAACTGATCAGATCTAACTATTTTGTTCGTTGTTAAGTGATCATCATCATCATCTTCTTTTTCGTCAACACAATTATTTATTTTTGATATATCGTTTTGTTTTCTTATGAAAGCTTGAACTTGGTCAAATAATGAAACAGGTTGATCTAAAAGTGTTTTAAATACAGATTTTACATTTGTAAATTCATCGAACAATCGATCTTCATCTAAACTTTTTAATTTTATCATCTCAACGCATTGAATAACCTGATGCCATGTTAAACCTTCGATATTTTCTTGACCAAAATAGCTAATTGTTTGATAAAAAGTAATATTTTTATCAAAATAAGAATCAATATAAGCAATAATTGCACTCAAAAATTTAATAAATGATGATTTTAATCTATTTTGTGTATCAATTGGTAAACGCATTAATTTATATCGACATGCAGCACCAAAAAATTCTGAATCAATTCGTTCTTGTAATTTAGTTTTAATGGATGTGATGATTCTGAATAAATCAACAGCTGTTGTGTAATTACGTTGTAATTCAAGATTTTTTTTATGAAGTTCGAACAAAACGTGTTGCAAAAAACTCAGTATACATGTAGCTTCATCAAGTTCGAAGAACTTTTTTAATTCCAATGGACAATTATCATGCTGTTCAAGAAAATATTTTTTAATAGGTAACCATACGTGTACTAAACGCTCTATGGAAAAGTATAAGCTTAACCATCTGATTTTAATATGCTTCAAGATCACCTACAATGAGAGAAAACAGAATATTATAAATTAGACTTGTAAATGAGAAAAATCAATAATTGAAAAATATTTTTACCTTGAAATCTTGTTCGTAGAACTCATAGTATTTCTTCAATTCATTAATACGTTTTGCAGACCGAGAAAAATATGCATATATCGTAAGTAATATTTGTTCGACATCAATAGGTAATAGACAATGAGCATGTTTAACAGAATTGTGAAGTATATGACAATAGCAATTTCCTATAGGTATAAAACGTGAAAATAAATGTGACGCTCTTTTCAAAAAAAAAAGGTGTTCATCTTTTTGAAAAAAAAATATAGGATCTCTGTAGTATTGAGTTATTTCTTTAGAACTCAGTTTGAACTATACTCCGTGTCACGTCTACGCAGATGCTAATGATTAATCTTGCAAAATTTTGAAAAACCAAGATGAAAAATAACAAAAACTCATATTCTTTTAACTACGTTTATTTTACCTTTGATGAGATCAGGAAATTCATCATTAAATAAAGAAAAAACAGAATGATTTTCACCAACGTTGACATTCGTATTATCAGCACCGAGTGCTGATAATCCATTAATATCCAAATCATTATCTATAATTAATTTACGTGCATTTGAAAAAATTTTAAGTGCTGTTTCTTCAGCATCATCTATTAAATCTATAATTCCTGAAAGAGTAAAAAGATGTAAATGAAGAATAAATTAAGTTAGCTGAAAAATATACCTTTTTTTACACCTGTTGTAGATAAAAATTGAACACAAAACGGATATACTTTCATATTTCCTTTGTTACTAGCATCATACATCAAAGAATAATAATATGATTGTTTTAAATCATCAAGTAAAGTATATGTAAAACATGGCGCTAATACATTTAGAGCAATACATGTTGATTTAGTTCGAGCAGATGACAAATTATTTGCTATTGATGAGGACGAAAATATTGCTTTACAAACATTGGTCGTGCATTGCTGTGCTAAATATGAATGTCCATGTTTAACTCCATGATAAACCAAAACACCTTCAGCAGCTGCAACTTCATCTTTTTCTTTTGATGGCTTTATTGTTTTTGTTATTAATTGTCGATTAACATCAAAAGATTTCATATTATTTTGGTGCTTTTTCGTTTTCATGTGGTTATCGATATCACTTTTACCACGATAATACAGTGAAAATTGCTGATTACAAACGATGCATGTGGCTTGAGATGGATCAGGTTTATATTCTTTTAAAAATGGTTGATATTCAATCAAATTTAACCATTCTTTGTTAAAAACACCTTTTTTCAATTTTTTTATTGATTTATCCTCTGGTGGCATTCGTAATGCTTCAGCTGGTACTAATACATCAGGATCTTCTTCTTCATCAATAATAATATCATAATCATCTTCATTCATTTTTTCTGCTTCGTAAAGCTAATAATATTAATTTCACTAAATAAACATTCGAAGAGTGTAGTAGATAATGGCTTTACGAATTGTAGATGACCAACAGAAAAATATATTAGAAAAAATATATAGGTAAAGAACGTACCAGAAAACGAAGAATATAGATTGGCAGTTTTTCAAAACCAGCGTGTAACAACAAACGTATATTGTGTTATGTTATTTTCCACTCTACTTTATTTAATCAATATTCATTCTTTATATATATCGGTCACAAGAGAGAGAAATATATACCTTTAACAAAAGAATAGTACACTTTTGACAAAAGAATGGACTAGTCTGGGAATGGCTATACAGTGAGATGACATCATTATATACAAGGGCACAAAAAGGAGAGATATGAGTGCTGACGAATGAAAGGGAGGTAGAATATGATAAAGAAATAATGATCGATAAAGAGAGGTAGGGCGGATCAGTGCGATTATCGGAACACAATGAAAAAACAAGAATTATGCTTATAATAGAATAAGGAAAAGATAAAAACATCATCATATATTAACAAACATTTTCCTTGACATTTCTGAAAAAAAATTATATATTATAATATCAAAAATTTTGGTTAAAAATATAATAGACAAAAACTCAGAAAAAGCAGAAAAAGATTAAAAAAGCAGAAATGACAGAAAAAAAGCAGAATTTTTCTGCTAAAAGCAGAAAAGGTGGCAAGTCTGGTCTTAATTCTTTCTATTGTTCATTTTCTAAACAGACGGACGAAGCTTCTCGACTTCTTTTCTAGTCCATCTATTGTTTCTGTCCTATGTATATATACTTGCTGTTTTCTTCAATAAAGAGATCAGATATTCACCCATCCAAAAAGTGATATATATGTAACTACGTCGATTGGTTGTCACGAAATATTCAGTAAACCTATCAATGATGTTCCATAATTTACCCATAAATGACTAACATATAACAAGTAGAGATATTAAAGCTTTGAGTAGTATGTTACGGTTCCTATCATGAATATCACGAAAAAATAAAAATATAAAATTTTAAATAAACTTTGAATAATTTTATTTACAACTTGATCTTATTTAAAGAATATTGCTGATATGGTTCTAAAATGTTTTTTAAACGTCTAAAATTTTTAGATGTAAGAGTCAATTGACAATTGTCAGAGTTTTCGTATATCATATTTTGTTTTATATCCAACAATTATGACTGATGCTGTTGCATTTCGTTCAAGTAAGATTTAAGCTAAAATGTTATTATTTAAAAATTTCTTCTGATTTAGCGACAGACAAATCAAATGTTAAAATAAGTATAGAAGATCTTAATTTTGCATTACTACATGGTGAAAAACTCGAAAAATTACCCGATAAAATTGAAGTAAATGTAGTTTATCGTCTTGCACTTGCATCAAATATTAAAGGTGAGCTTTAATATTCTCATTCAAATAGTAAACATATGTTTTGTATATTTAGATGCTTACAAATATGACCATTATTCGTGGAAGAATACACGTTCAATACAGTACCCGAAGAATAATCCTAAATTTATGAAGATTTATTATTATTGTATTAATTCTGAAAAGAAAAAAGATGGTCGATGTGTGAAGCATATCTATATTTCAATAACGAATGATTTTGATGTTCTTGTTTCTTATCATGGTAAATTAACCTCACTCCGATCAAAGTTTGTCATTGAAAGATTAAGTCTACAGGGCTGGTTAGCATAATTAATTCTATAAATGTATGAGAGAAAATATGCTTTAGAGAGACAGTGTGTAAGTTCTTATTTGTTCTGCTAGCTTTGGTTGTATCTGAATATCAATAGTTCTTTAATTAATAAGCTCTTTTTCGTCTAAATTATCGCAGCTGTTCCAATCCATAATTGTATTTGGTGTATATAGTTTCGACAAAAGCTATGATATTAATGTTCAAGAATATACTTAATATTTTCTCTCGTACTTAGTCATGCACATGTTGCAGGAAAAATTGAAATTCAGGCAAATTTAAAAATTGCCTAGGGAAAATTATAAATCTAATTTTGCCTAAGTGAAATTAGAATTTTAAGTTTGGCTAGATATTGCTTGGGCAAAATTGGAATTTCAATTTTGATTAAGCAAAATTAGAATGTGACTAAAGATAAATTCATACGATCAAAACAATTAAAACTGAATAGAAGTTTTTTTATTCAACAGTATTACTTCATTACACTAAACAATTTTTAAGACATAATATTGTAATCTATCCATTGATATTTATATAATCATCTAATTTTGAATGACATTGTCAAGATAGTAAATTAAAAAATACATATCCACTTGAACATCCTATTGATTGAAAAATGGCTTGTCCAAAATAATTAAAACAAATCGTTATTAATGGTTTAAAGGATATTACATTTATTGAAATATGTAAAATCTATGTACATGCATTAATGGCTGGTAGAACTTGCGATTGTAAACGCAAGTGCGCTACAAAACAATGTTCGTGTAAAAAAATGGGAGCTATCTTTTCGACGACATGTCATTCAGACCGAGGCGATTGCGCAAATATGGATGAATAGATTAAAATGTTGTCTTAAAAATTGTTTAGTTTAATGAAGGAATATTGTTGAACAAAAAAACCTTCTACTTAGTTTTAATTGTTTTGATTATGTGAATTTATCGTCAGTCATATGCTTATTTTGCCTAGGCAAAATTGAAATTCCAATTCTTCCCAAAAAATGCCTAGTCAAACTTGTAATTCTAATTTCACCTAGACAGAATTATTATATCAATTTTGCCTAGACAAATTTTAAATTTGTCTGAATGTCATTTTTGCCAACAACACATATATTCCAAAAAATAATCTCAGTTTAATATTTCACGTCGTTAGTTTGAATAAACGGGAAGTATAAATCTACAAGCAGTAAATGCAAGACTAATCGAGGGATGAGTTACGAAAATTAGATGATTGTCTCATGAAAATACTTAATATTAAAAACTGAAGAGTATTTAAACAAATTTACTTGATTTCTATTTTGTTATAATATATATATATATTTGTTTAGGAAATCTTGATATTGCAACAAAACATCCACATGGAAATTGTAAATTAATGAACGCACATGTTTTACATCATACACCAGAATCAACAATTCAGCAAATCGATCAACTTGTTTCAAAAATGTCCGGTGCTGCTGCTTATAAAACATTAGTTGCCGCAAATGGTGGTATTGATAGTCCACGTAATGCATCACAATGTAATTATAGACGTCAAAAATACTTGAACAATCAAAAAATTAGTCATGATGAACTTAGTAATGTAATTCTTCTGTCATACGAGCTGAATGAATTTTATAAATTACTTCAATTACAACCGGAAACATTAATTATATTGATGCATGATCAAATGAAAAGTCAGCTTCTAAATCTTCTTAGAATAACAAAAGAAATAGTACCTTTATACTATGAAACAACATTTTCTCTTGGTGAAATTTATGTTTCTGTAAGAACTTCTACATCTTCTAAAAAAAGATTTCAATATACTGCTTATTTTTAGATACTTGGATTTCGAAATGTAATCTTTTCCGAACGACCAATACTTCCACTTGCAATTCTTATGCATGACAGAAAACTTCAATCAGGACATGAACGTTTTGTACAAATCCTGAACAATGAATTACCAAATCTTCATAAAAATTGTATTCTTGTAACTGATGGTGAAGATGCACTTAAAAATGCTTTTCGAAAATATTATCCAAGAATGTTACAGTTGCGTTGTTGGAATCATGCTATGAATGATATAAAAGCTGCTGCTAAAAAGTATTTTTTTCATTGAACAACAAAAGAATGTTGTTGCTGATGCTGATGCTCAGATGAACAGAAAGGAAATTATTGATGGTGTTATCGATGCAATTAAAACTCTTTTACGTGCATCATCTTACAATGAATTTCGTGTACAGTATGAAAATATATCTTTACATTGGCCAAAACGATTTGTTGAATATTTTGAAAAAAATACTTTACCAATTATTAATGAGTTAGGTGAGTAAAAGAAAATTTGTCATCTTTGTTCTTCGTGGTTGTCAGGTTTCATTTCGATCAATTGAGTATTTCATGGCGACGATACTATTTACAGATTGAGCTTATCACTTGATGTCGTCACTCATTCCACAAATCGGCTTATCCTCCTGTCACCAAAGGATAAGTCGACTTGTCAAAGGAGGAAAAAAAACTAGTCAATAATTTGATCAACAAAATATGTTCCAGAGGATAAATCGACTTGTCGAATGAGAAAAAGAAATAGTTTATTCATTTGAATCCATTGTTGCTATACGTATTTTTCTTTGTTTTTTAAAGGTGGATGGTCAGGTCGAATGTTTCAGTTATTTGATGAAGTTTCTGGAGTAAAGAACAACCCAATTGAAAGTTTAAATGCTGTGTTTAAACGTTGGCTTTCTTGGAAAGAATTATCATTATATGCATTAGTGCAGATGTTTTTTTTTGTTTTGGAATTTTATGTGAATGAATTTAGACGTAGTCTTTGTTCGTATGGTATGTATACGAGCTGTCGGTCTGTTTTAGCGTTTTTTTTAGAACGTGTCTTCTGTTGGTTTTTGTTTATTATATGTGGTTATCATTTACAAGCAGCATACAATGATGCAAAAACTGATGTTGCACATTTAACTCTTGTTTCTGGATTTTCACCTGATGAGGTTGTGGCAAAAATAAAGTCTGCTATGCTTAAGCAACCAACACCTGCAAATGATGATAATCCAGCATTTGGTAGTACACAAAATCAAGCTGGCATTATCAACTTGAATGATATGAAGGATGATTCTGACAATAACAATTCTATTGAAGTTATGTGCAATAATGAATCAATTATCAATCGTCCATTGTCTAATAATCAAACTTATATTAATGATATTCGACAAGAAAAATTAACAAATACTAGTCGAGCTAGTCTTCTTTTGAACAAAATTTGGTACAATATCATGCTGATACAAAAGTATTTACTGTTCGATCTCTTGATCATTTATTAGTTCATGCCGTTCACATGAATGATCCAAAACGTCTTTTCCGATGCTCATGTCCTAATACTTTACTAAATTGTTCACATGTACTTGCTGTGAAACAATTCCTAGGTAACCTTCAAACTCAAATATTAAGGGAGCATTTTTTAAAATTTTTTTCACTTTATAAGGTATGTCATTAGATAAACGTGATAATCACGTTAATCTCGGTCATGAAAGAAAACGAAAACGAATCGACGATAAGATTAAAAAAGTCGGTGGTAAATGTCCACGTCGATGTGATAAAGAATCAAATCAGAAATATACATCATCACATTTTTCTTCAAAACAAAATAATGCCACAAATGCTGTTGAAACACGTCGAGATGATATTATTTCATTTCCGTTGAATCCATCGAACAATCCACAATTTGTCACACTTACACTAACAGATATATCAAATTTACCATCGTCATCAACATCTAATGTTACTACTACACCTAAAGTTATAAAAGCGATTCGTTTTATTACACCAGTCAATCTTATTGTTTCACAACAGCAATCAAATCAAGCTGAAGTTCGTCAACCGTCATAGGTATTGTAAATTTTCTCCAGTAAATTTCTATCGAATTATTGCATATTTCTCGTATTATTTTAGTAGATTCTCATGTCTCAATTTCCTGCATTTAACTATATTCTTAATCTATTTTCTCAATCATCGTTCAATGACTTTTATTATTGAGCTATTATTCAACAGTTTTTTTTGTGAGGCAGATCAAAGATGACCCATAATAAGTAAAAATTCATTGTCCATTAGTCTTTTTTGATAGTTTTTTTTGTGATACACATAGCTGAAGCTTTATTGTGTACATACAAGATAGACGTAATTAAGACCTCATATTTAATAAGGCTCGAATACCCTAGGCAAAATCGATACTGAAACACTTCACATGATTGTAATATGAGTTTCTGTTTTGGATTTTCATCATATTTTTACCTGCTCCTCATTGAACACAGCAGCATTTCTCATCATATAAAGAGTGTGTAATAAGTTCTTATTTCCTTCAAGTAATATTCTTTTCTTTCATGTTTTTTTTCAATAGAATAGGCAGATATCTGCAGCATATACGCTAGACATCTAGATCTATTCTATAGGAGAATTTCAGCTTTCTCTCTTTGATGGCCGTACGCTTTTAATATGTACAGTCTTCTCAAGCTGTATTATGATGTTTTTTATTGCTTGATTGCATATTTTTTCTTTATCTCATGTCGACTTTCATTAACAATATGTTTTCTACCTTTTGATTATGTTGTGTGCCATTTGATTTCTTTTTTATTATATTTTCTCTTTGTTTGTAAACTATGAAACTTGATTGAAAAGATATAAAACTCGTCTATTATGTGATAGCTGCTTTGATCTTATTGTAGATTTATTAGTATTTATCAACGATGTATCCGGTGAAGTTCTCAAAATTAATTAAAAATAAAAGTAAGAGACTTTTTTCATAAAGATTTATTCAGATGAATGTCTTTTAGATGAACTGTATTCCAAAGTGAAACAAGCATATGTTGATGTAAACATACCAGCAGTTTATCCAGCAGCGAATAAACAATTACAACAACGACTTAGTGACTTTGTTTCTAAAGGTGAGAACTGCATTCATAATATTTTGTTTTCGAAATTCCATCTTTTACAAGTCTTTCTAACGAACAATCGATGTTATTATTTGACAAAGTTAATTCTAATCGTATTTACGCTTTGGAGAAACATGAAAACTTGATCAGATTAATTATGCTAATAAAAGAAAAAGATGAAACAAGTATGTTGTTATGATGAAATAAAGGATCACAAAGAGAAATGTTTCTAATCATAGAAGAATTTATCGTATTACCTATCGATGACGAAATTAAAGTTGTCGTCTCGTCATTTATTCATGCATATGAACAAACTGGTTTTATTGAATCAGCTCCTAAATGCTATGAACGGCTACATAATATTTATGCTATTTCGAATAAAAGAATTCGAATTGTTCAACGTACATTGTAAGATGCTTGTTTCTTAATTCTCAGCAAATTAATATTTTTTTAGAGCTAAATTTATTGTTTCATCTTTTGTTAATGATGAAAATGAAAATGAAAAGAATGAAGATGATAAAAGTCGTGATGATAAAATTGAATATGATAAAAGTTATGATGATAAAATTAAATATGATAAAAGTCATGATGATAAAATTGAAGATGATAAAAAATATTATAAGCAACACAGGTAAGCTGCTTGTAAAAAGTGTGCGGAAACTCTAGACATTTTTTTAAGGGATGTATTTTTCATTGATATAAAAAAAAGCCAGCGATACTTGTTTCTTCAAAAGATGACTTGTCTCGATTATCAATCTTGTCTATTCTTCTATCATTCTCTATTGTTACAAAATACATATTCACATCTTTTGTTTTGAATATTAAAATGTATATAATTTATTAACTTTTGTATATAATTAGGAATGTGCTCAAATTTAATCAAAGTGAAAACGTTCATATTTCGCCACATTCAACATCTCATGTATCGATTAACACACGTTCGAAAACGAAATTAAGCAAAGATCAAAATATTCGATCATCTGAACGGTAAAAATATTATAAATTCAGTAGATTAAAACTTTAATTTAATTTTTAATTTCAGTGATCTTGAAGCTGATAAAAGAAAAAAAATGAAACGTTAAAGATATTGATTTTTTCATGCTTGAATAATTATTTTATTGTTTATTTCGGTGATATTCAAGAAACATGTGTTATTATAATTGTTACATTGTTTGTTTCATAGTGAATACGCTGAAGGTGCAAATATTATTTCATTCTTATTGTTTGTTTATTTTCTTCGTGTTGTGTAAACATTTTTTCTTAAACTATTATTTCTTATTGAATAAAATGGTATATATACATATATAGATAGATAGATAGAAAACAACATAATATCCTTAACCAAATACCTATCGATCCTTTATGAGCAAAAGAATTGAATTAAATTTAGAAAACATCAATTTAATTTTAAATAAATGCAGGTAATTTTTAATACAAATAAATTGAAGCATGCTTGTCGTATCAAATAATACTACGCGTTTTCGCATGGTTGCATAATTCTCTGCAAAGTATCCAGTGAAAATGTTAATTAATTCAATCAAATTTATTTTTTAAAAATTTCGCTATATTTTTTTTTATCAAATTAAGGCATAGATTTAGTAATTTTACGTAAAAAACTAAGAAAACAATTACGTTTTCATACTAGCACGAAGTAATGTGTCTCATATAATACAAGGATGACATCTTGTGTTATTAATGGCGCTTTTAGTCACTTTTAATCCGATAGATGTATATCAAAAAAATAGCCAATGAAGCACTTAGGCCAGTTAGGCCGTAAGCGGAAAATTAGGCCAATTATTATTACCCCAAGACTATTGATTGACATTTTCTACAATTCAAAACATTTCATTGTCCAATATGAATACGCTTTAATGTAGGGACATTGGTGCACGTTTTCTTGTTGCAGCAACATGTAATGCAAAGGAAAAAAAAAGAATCAATGAGAACCAATTAAAAAAAAAGTGAGTACTCACAACGATAAACGCATGCTTACGAAGCGAACGACGTATCGTATGAAAATGTCATGATTCATTGATGTGAAGAAAGCAAAATAAAGTTGGAAAAAACCAAGTAATTTCATCATCGACAAATGCGTCAAAAAGCCAATTGCAAACAAAACGTAAAACAAATAACATATTTTAATATCATTAAGGAAGTAAGTATTCTTGATTTTAAACTAATCTAACGGCATTTATATGAGACTATTAAACAATTATCAATTGTTCAATAGTTTAAAAAATAAATAAATTCTTTCTTTTTATTAATATAGTATTTTCAATCTTAAATAAATTTTGTCCTTGAAACCGAACTACTTTGTTTATTTGCAAACATTTTCAACTTATTTTGTATCGTAAAATGTGTTATAACTTTCAGGGAATTTCTAATTGATTGAAAAATAGAATTCAAATTCAATTTTCTGAAGAAAAGAATGTTTTTCGGACAAAATCGAAACTCAATGATATATTTCTAGTATTTTTGAAAATGAACTTCAATGCTTTATAGAAAGTCAGTTCTAATTCTATATAAAGATTAGAAACAACATCACTTTTTTGAATACCCAAATAAATGAATCCAACGGAAAAACTATTTAATAATAATTAGTACCTCAATTCAACGACAGAAGATAATCAGAGCCAAACGTTGGATTCCGTCACAATCTGACGATAGGATCCGATCATATTTCGACACTATGGATGCGAATATTATGCTGTGATCTGGCAACTGATATGAATTTGTTGGTTTTATAGAAATTCATATAAAATTCGATTGGATATCTATGGAATCTGATCGAACTGGATTGTCAGAATACGTCTCATTGGTAATAACTATATAGTGATGACTACAGAATTTTCATTCTAACATACGCAGAATGGCGATACTACTCTGTTCTCTAATAATGAAAAAAAGTTAGGAGTCATTTTTTAATTAGCATAAGACATAGTAAGTATAGATTATTTTTTTCTGGAATCAACTATGACATTTCTTATTTGTTTTCGCTTTTGAACTAGTTTTCACATCGTAATAGTAGCAGTATATTTCGTTTCGATAAGGCTAATTGTTCCTGATTTTTTTATTGTTAGACCTAACGAGAGATGATTGTCTATTTAATGGTTTTTCTTAATCATATTCTGAGCTTACCACGCTAGAAAAACAGTTATCTTTAAAAAACAATTAGCACTTATCAATACTTAGAAATCTTCACAATTACTATGAAGCATTGTTTACATAGCGAAAAAATCGAGGTAAAGAATGATAACAGTAAAACAGAGAATAGTGTAGTCACGAAATATTGTTTAGAGTCAAATGCTGTAGTTCAGATTTGATCGGACTTTAATTTTTTGTCAAACATGCACATCCACAACAATAGAATGAACACTGTTTGTTTTATTAGACGAAAACACGTGTTTATACCGAAGAAATCATTTTGAACACTTGGCTCAGATAATTCGCATATTTCTAAGCAATTAACACATTCCAATGGCAAGAAATAATTCTACTGTGAGCGAACTTTACAGTTCGTGTCGTAACAACGACATAAACGAAGTAAAAGAATTAGTTAGGAAGTTGCCTCTGGATGAAATAGACCGCATTGAACCGAACGGAAGTACTGCCCTGCATGTTGCTTCTTATTATGGACATATTGAAATAGTTGGATTATTACTAGAGCGAGGCGCATCTCGTTCGATAAGAAATCGCCATGGTTATACGCCGGAATCTGAATCGAAAGGCATTGAAATTAGACGACTTTTTCTTCGTGAAAATGAAAGTGAAAGATTTGTTTGTCACGGTGATGAAATTGAATGGATGAAAGTTGATGAGAACGTTCATAGAGAAGCGGGAAAATGGCGCTGGATAATCGAACACTCATGGGAAGGTCGTAATCTTGATTGGCTTGTGCATGAAGTTCAAACTGATTTTATTAATATTGACTTTAAAGAATCACGACATCTCGAACGAATAAAAAAATATTTCGATGAAGTAATAGACAAAAAGGATCCTATTTATTTAATTACAGCTTACACAGCTCAAACTGATTTTTATTCGCATTTAAATAAACAACTGGCAATAATTGGTGGGAATTTTAAAAGTGCTAATGATAATGTTAATCGTTGTGGAATGAAATGTTATTTGCAAATTTTGTTTACGCATTGTGCGTTTGATCGAATGAGTTACATTGGTGAATGTTATCGAGGGATGAAAATCACACAGCACGATTTAGGTCAATACGAAGTTAGATCACATATAATGAACAAAGCATTTTTATCCACATCCTTCGATTACTCTGTAGCTAAGAAATTTGCAATTAAACGCATTGAGGTAAACAAACAGAAATTTACCGCAATTTGTACTTACAAAATACGTAATAGACGTACTGCATTAAGTATAATGGAAGTATCTGAGTATCAACACGAAAAAGAGGTTCTTATCATGCCATATACAGCATTTCAAGTCAAATCAATTAGAAGAAATTCCAACAATCAAAACAATGAGCCAGATTTTTTTATTGATCTTGAAGAAAGTGCACCAACAAGTGGACTAAATGAACAAAACGAAGCAATAAATACTGAAAAACAACTTACACTTCGCAAAAAATTCATGCGAAAGTTCAACAAATGGTTAGGAAACGAGAGTTAGATAAGAAAGAAATGAGTTTAGTGACTAATCTATAGAGCTATTTCAACGTGGAATCTGTCTTCACTTCCAGAATTTTTCTAGAATATTTAGATGATGAAAATTTATGTTATTCTGTGTGTTCTAACATGGAACATATGATTTTTATCAATTAATAGAAAATGATATTGTTTATATGCTTACCAGAGATCACAGACTCACCGAGTTTCCTCGCCTCGTCTCGCCTCGCCTCGTGGCGAGGCAAGACGAGGCAGTATTTTCCGCACCGCGACGAGTACGAGTTGTTTTCACGACGCGCCGAGTTAACTCTCCCATACTTGTTAGTGATTAAATAGTAAATCACTAACGATATCTCCCGTTTCTGTTGTTCACTTTTTGAAGAATTTCTATTGGTAATGAAGTTAAACAAATCAGAGTAATAAATGGGTATGGATATTTACCTAATATGTGTATATTATTTATCTATTCGGCCTAGACGAACAATTTCATTTATACAATTTCTATTGTGAATTTAACAAAGATGACGTTAGTTATGCCAGTTAATTGAAATTTTTGCGATAAGAATTTTATTCTAGATACTTATTATGTGCTCGACAAACTCTTGTTCTTCTTCTTCTGGTGATATTATCGATATTACAGAGGAAACTTGTTCAGATTCTCGAAATGTTGATCATACATCATCAAATATTTCTCAAATGTCTTGTAAAAGGATTTACAATTTACTCATGCGTAAAGATGGAAATCTAATAGGGGTCGATAATACGAAGAAACATACTGCAAGTTGCTGGTCTCAATTTGGTTTTCCAGCTGTTACTGATGATAACGGTGTTGTGTTGACAAAATTAGACAATTTTATTTCATGTAAACATTGCTATGTTACATATTCTTACAATAATAATAGTACCTCGAAAATGAACAAACATGTTTGTGAAAGTTCACCAATAAGATCTTCAAAACACTCTGATACAACGTCTTCATCACCTTTAAAACAAAAAAAACTCGTTCTTTCACCTGTAATCGCCCAGGATCGATTAAACTAAACGAAGAAGAAAGTAAGAAAATAAAAAACCTTCTTATAGACTGGGTTTGTACGGATATCAGACCATTCTGTGATGGTCAACTCTAGACGTACTCGATTAAATCCACAACTGATAAACAACGCATTGTTTATTCGTTCAATTAAAAAACAAGAATGATTGTTATTTATTAGTATCTAATCTTGTATTTTTGTTTTTTGTACTTATTTATATATCTTAAATGTACTTGATTTGATCAAAAGAATTAAACTAGATAGTGATTATTGTGGGTGGTCGAAAAACTGCCTAAAAAAAAGCTATTTTTATAATAGACCGTGGACGAGGCGAGGCGAGTCGAAGTTTAGGAGGCGAGTCGAAGTTTAGGAGGCGAGGCGAGGCGAGGCAGCGATGGTTAACTCGTCGGTATGGCGAGGCGGTGGTGAGGCACTTTTTTGGCTGACTCGCCGATCTCTGATGCTTACACATCTGAAAAAAGCGCAAATTTCAGGGCACAAATATTCTAAGTTTGTCTTGTAGCAATATTCTAGATATAATGTGCAGTTATTATATGTGACTCGGTTATATCAGAGATGAGAATGTGACCGTGCACATTTATGAAGAGAAAATGCATGCCAATAGTCACCTTGCACACCTACATTGTTCGAAATACTTAATAACAATATTGAAAACTAAGAAAACTGTTTGATGTCGTGAGTAATATCAAAACAATCTTGTTGTGTAAGAGAAATTCGAAAAGGCATGTCTGAAGAAATAGCACTTGTATTTGCCATAATTTTACTAACTAATTATTATTCTGATGAAAACAAAAATATTTCAGATTCGAATAAATTCTTCTTCTAAACTTATAACTATGTCGCTGAACGTCGAAATTGAAATGGAAGATATGATATCATCACCTAATATGATACCAATGCCTAAATATATCAGTGATATCGATGAACTACACAATCCAATCTTCGAAGTTGTATCTCCACTCCAACCGGCTCATCAACATCATCTCAAGACTAGAATATTCCTCGACTTTATTCTGTTTCTTGCACTTATAGGCAGTAGTCTATGGTTATTCTCGAGTATTGGTCGCAATATTTTACTAAAATCGTTTGGTGCTGCATTCCTTATTGCTGGCATTATGCTAGTTATATTGAGTGGCTGGTTAGTTCTAACAGGAGCATCGATGTTTCGGAAAATGAATTTATTAAAAATGGGGACTGCTCTGATTATTCTCGTCATCGGAATAGTTCTTATTATCATTGGAAAAGAACAAGATCATCTAGTTATTGGCTATGCTCTGTTCGCTACAGCACTATTAATACTGATAACAAAATTCTTTTTTCTTGTTGAAGACGAACAAATTCGAATTCAACGTTTGGAACGTGAATTGCAAAGAGCAAAACAATCAGCAGGTATGGGTATGGCTTTGGCTTATTTCTATAATTTTGTCGTACCAACGGCGGCAAATATTCGATCGATTGATGAAGGTCATACACCAATCGACATGGAAGTAACACGCGGAATATTTGAACAATATCATTTGAAGAATGACAAATTGTTTATTATTGTGCCTCGTGATCTAGACGGTTCTGATATGAAAGTATTTTTGAAAAACCTATCTTCATTTCCGAATCCATCTGTTACACAAGGTAAACCAAAAGAACGACCGGGTAATGATACACATCGTCCTATGTTCGTTTATTTTCTCGAATGGGACCCAGAAAAGAAAGAATGTAACGGTTTATTTGATATTCCAACAATAATATCTTCGTGTTGGGATCGACATAAAAATGAAAAAAAGAATAGTAAACATTCAATGAATATTGCTGACGAAATAATTATTTTTCAAAATCAACTTTTTTCATTGATTAATGAACATCCAATAACATATGGAAAAGTACGCATACTCAGTTTTCCACCATTACCATTTGATTTCTCGTCCATAAAATATACTGTGACACATTAACTCAATTACTATGAGAGGAAGCAAAACAAAAACAAAAAAATCTTATTGGAAGAATATGAATAAAATGTGATTATAACAATGACATAATAATCAGAAATAATTAGCCCCTGTATGATGATAAGTGAGAAAAGAACTGTGTGAGAGAGTGAAGAAAGAGAAAATACAATTCACCATATACATATCTCAATTACCATAAAATTATCTTGCGTGAACTTTTACCCTTTTAATGAAGAGAGCGCTTCATTTTAGTGGCGCCTTCTGAATTTTTAACTCAAATTCATACCTTCACCAAGATTTCTTTTATGATTCATAATGATCGAACAGATATTAATGAAAATCGACAGGAGCGGTCAAAATGAATATCATTCTTATGCTGACAAACTGAAAATATAAATTTTGACAATTGTTAATAATAATTGTTTCCATCGAATTGGGTGCGGGTGTGTGGGTGTGGGTGCTGGTGTGGATGGGTGTGGGTGCTGGTGTGGATGGGTGTGGGTGCTGGTGTGGATGGGTGTGGGTGCTGGTGTGGATGGGTGTGGGTGCTGGTGTGGATGGGTGTGGGTGGGCGTGGGCGTGGGTGTGAGTGGGTGCGGGTGTCAGTGTGGGTGGGTGCGGGTGTCGGTGTGGGTGTGGGTCTGGGTGTGGTTGTGGGTGTGGGTGCGGGTGTTGGTGTGGATGTGGGTGTTGGTGTGGATGTGGGCGGGTGTGGGTGTGGGTGGGTGTGGGTGGGTGTGTGTGTGTCGGTGTGGGTATGGGTGTGGGTGGGTGAGGGCGGGCGTGGGTGTGAGTGTGAGTGTGGGTGTGGTTGTAGGGTGTGGGTGTGGGTGGGTGTGGGTGTGTGGGTATGGGTGTGGGTGCGGGTGCGGGTGTGGGTGGGTATGGGGGTGGGTGTAGGTGTGATGAGAAGAATATAGGCATCCACATCCAAAGCCGTAGCCACACCCACAGCCATGGTCACACCCATACCCACATCGACACCGACCCACACCCACACCACACACCCACACCCACACCCTTTATGATGAATTTTTGGGAAGATTTCCGAACAAAATCGATCTAGTAATGGATCAGGTAATGAATGGGTAGAATCATGCAATAAATATTTTAATAAAGTTAAATCATTAGTAAAAAGCTGTTAGCGCAATCCCTTGCGGGATTAAAAATGTGAAACACGATGGATCTGTTGTTACTAATTCAATGGAAATCGTTTTATTTCATTTCTTTGCAATACATTTATAGCTAACCGTTTATCTGATGCTTTAGAACTACAGTTTCTCTGTCACAGCCTGTGATGGGTCCAAAGCCTGTCTGTCACGGTCTGTGATGGGTCTAAAACCTGTCTGTCACGGTCTGTGATGGGTCCAAA